ATTGCCATGTGGATAGTGATTAGTGAAGCAAGACTCTGAGTCCTGGCTGAACCAGGACATGGACTTCAGTTTTTTCCATGTCAGGAAACCACTCTTCAGCTGTAGACCCTGGCAAGGCAGTAGGGGTCCTGCAGAGTACTCAGGACTCTCAGTAATCTGGAGAATGTACCCTGCCCAAGTGAATGTTTGGGTATTGCTACTCAGACCCAACGTAATGAAATAGAAATTTAATAATACAATGATAGCTTACGTTTTTGAGTACTTACAAAATTATGGGATGATTCACTGTTTTCCAAAAGGATTTATTCTAGATTCTCTTAATAGCAATTTCATTATTGCTTTTAGGAGTGAGCTATAGTCAATGACTACAAAGCCTTGAAACTGGGAGTTAGAGAGGCAGGGTACATTGCAGCACATTCATTTAACCTGGAAAGTAAACTGAAGATAGAACATTTTTGAAATTTTAGTGTAGATTATTTTGAAGATAATTACTCAATTTTCAAATATTCATTTTATTTAGCTTTGTAGGTATTATTCCAGTATATGAAGTAAGAAAATTCTGTATGACCTAGCAGTTTTTTAATGCTTCCTCTTGGCAGGGTTACTAAGTTCTTGATGCTGTGTCAGGATTCCAAGTACCTGTCTGGATCCTTTCTCAGCATCTAGTGAGGACCAGGCAAAGTAATGTGTAAAAAATGCAAAGCAATGACTGTAGCTAATTAATACCCATTCTTAGCTTATGGGCTGTACAGAAACAGGCGGCAGGTCGGATTTGGCCAATTCCTGGTGTGGGGAAAAGATTAAGGGCCGCTGTCATTGACTCAAGGTTTGATCATGAACAAGGTCTATACACTTGAGTCATACCTTATTGTACAGCAAAGAAGAACGAGGTGAATATTAATAGTATTATCTAATATCATTACTTATTCTGTGCCATACTGTGTAACCAAGAAATATTTGTTGAATGAGTGAATCTTTAACACCTTAAACTGAATTTCCTATGTTATAGACATCAGGTACTATTGAGACACTCAGAATGTTACATCAAAAAGAAGCATATATTACAGACCCTTAACCCTCATGGTAGCGGAGGAGATAAAGTGTGTACTGTACATTCAACTTGGATAGGTCAGTGTTAGAGTGTAAGAACCACAGGAAAGTAGTAGTGACAGTGATTGTCAAATCCCTGTGGACTGAAGTCGTTGCATTTGTCCCTTTGTTCCAGGAGGAGCCACTGGATGAAAGCTCGGTGAAGAAAATGATCCTTACATTTGAAAAGAGGTCATACAAAAACCAAGAGTTGCGAATTAAGTTTCCAGACAACCCAGAAAAGTAAGCGTGTGTTTTGCTGATATCCTTTCTCCTCTGTAGTGTTTTGTTTGCTAATTTTGTTTTGTTTTTTGTTTGCTTTTGCTTTTGTGATTTGGGTCAGGAGTTCCAGAATGACCCGCATATTCGGGAAATCACTAGAGGGACTCATAGGACTCAGACTCAGTAGTATTCTGGGCTGAGGTTTATTATAGTGGAAGAGTGCACAACAGGATCAGCAAAGAAAAAAGACACATCAGGAGGCTTCTGGAGTATACAGGCTTCCTGTGTTTGCTCCCTCACAGAGAGGATAGACAGACAGGCTCCTTTCTTCAGCAGTGAAATGCTGCAGTATATGTCCAAGGAAGCTCATTTGTGACTCCAAGTCTAGGGTTTTTACTGGGGACTGGTCACATAGACATTGGCTGCCAGGAGTACAACACCAAAATTCTAGACTTCCAGAAGGGAAGCATCTGTTCAGTGCCCCAGGCTGACAATATACCTTATCACTTAGGGAGCATTTCAAAAGTTCAGTTCCCAGCTGCCAGCCTAGGGCCAGCCTTGCAAGCAGGCCCTTCTAAAGATCAGGTCTTCTATGTTAACTCTTTTCCAAAGAAAACTGACCATGGCTGCCACTAATGATAGCTTTACTGAGAAAATGTCAAAAGTTTTGGAGTGAATGTGGTGTGACATGCACATGACCTTGAGTAAGTTGCTCCTCCTTTCTTAGCCTTAGGTGTCTCATCTGTATAAGGAAATAATACCTTCCTCATAGGGTTGTTGTGAAGGTTAAATGAGAGCAATTGCAAGTTTACATAGTAGGTGCTCATGAAGTGGTAATCAATGTAATTGCTACTACACTGACACCTCAGTGCACTGTGAAGTGCTGTATGAGAGATCTGGTATCTTTCAGTGAGTCTTGAGTCCTAACTAAGTGGATTTTCATATTTATACAGATTTTAATGTTCCCTCCTTATCTTCCCCCCTCTCAGGACTTATACTTTTAATGAATCTTAATATGCCCAAGATCCCTAGGCAGTTAAGAGTTGAGTAGTATAGTCATTGCACTCAAGTTTATAGGTTACTAGGGAGACTGACTATAAGTTGCAAGGTAGAAGGGAATATATACTTAAAAAGAGATATGAGCAGAATGCTGTGGGAACATAGGAGAAGAAACAGTAAATACCAGGTTGGGGGCTGCTGAAGGCTTTGCAGAAAAGGTGGTATTAGAGCAGGGCCTTGAAGAATGATTCTGATTTTATTAAGGGGGAAATAACTTAGAAAGGTATACTAGGCTCTGAGGAGCATGAACAAAGGCACAGAGGTGTCAGAGGGCCCAGAGTCATCACGGCAACCAAGTGAGGCCAGCAGGATCCCCTGTGCTCTCCGTGTACTGTGAATGAGGAGGCAGAGGAGACATAACCTGGTTGCTGGCCTCAGGCCTAGCCCTCTGCCATGGTAGGAGTAGCTAGATGGGCACTCAGCTTGCCCAGCACTAGATCCTCCACCATACAGTAGTACTTGTCATCCTGCACCATGTGTGTGTTCAGTTACATAAGTAATGTACAAATAGATGCCAGTATAAAAAATACCATCAGTGCATAAGTGGAGTAGAAAAAGAAAGTTCTCCCTCACTGAACTGACCTCTTTCCATTCCCCTGCCTAGAGAGAACCTTGTAAACAGTTAAATATGCAAATATATTTTTTTCTACATAAATCATACTGTAGATATTCTGCACCTTGATTTTTTTGGGACACATTACAGGAGATCTTTCTATGTTAGTACATGCATATCTACCTTTTGGGTTTTTTAACTGGTGCATAGTATTTTATGGCTTAGAAGTACCATGATTCATTTAATTATTTTTCTATTGATGAACATTTGGATATTTTAAATATTGGGCTTTTGTAAACAATGCTACAGTGACTTTCCTTGAACACATGTCTTTATGTACATATATTTCTATAGGGTAGATATAGAAATATTGAATTCCCAGATTGGAGGCTATGTACATTTTTAAACTTTGATGGCTACTGCCAGTTTCCCCATGGTTTCCTCTTATTCTCCCTCCAGCCGCATCTCCTTTCCTACGTTCTTACCCACAATGGATGTGATCAGTCTTTAGTGTCTTTGCCATTTGTTTTATTGTTACTTTTCTACTCAGTGGTTTTTGCATTAAACTCATTTTCTTTTAGGAGGTGGTCTGTGCTTTGTTTGTCTCAGTAAACATGAGAGATTTTATATAGTCCCTGTCATCTTTATTACATCCTATCACTTGGAACTTAAGGATACATTATGAGGAAGCTATGCTGTAGGTTGATAATAATGAAGTTTAAGAAACCTGATTTACTTCTTGGAATACCAGTATTGCCTTTACCCACTTGGTGGGTGTATTTCTCTCGATTTAGAGTGGTGAGTTTCTGTAGGTTATGTTCATTATCTACATCATAGGTACCTTACTGTTACAATTCAGAAACTGGTTTTAAGAAAAATTTTGTTTTATTAAAAAACAACAACTATAACAGTGTTTTCCATTCAAACGCAGTTTGTAAAATATTTTAGGTTTTAAATCTGAACATAATTTCAATCTGAAATTATGCATAGGCAACTTTTTTTTCCATGTCAAAAAACAGTTAGGAAACTACATTGTATTTTAACCTTGAGTTTCTGAATTCTTATTGCAGTGTCTTTCATAATTCTCTAGACTAGCAAGGTGCAATTAAGATGAAAATTGCTACAGCATATTTGAATGAAACTTTATGGTTGAGATCAGAAACATTCACGTTTATTTTCCCATATATGCAATTGTCATTTTGATCGCATACCCAAAATCATCTCTCTTCATGTGGCTGCATTTCAGAATCAATTGACGATTCTCCTTATGCAGGCTCCGCTTTGCACTGTGATCTTTCTCCCTAATATCATGTTGAGTAGAGTATGCTGTTTTTCCAGTAAGTCCCTTAATAGTTATTCTCTTCATTTTTGCAGGGACAGAATTATTTAGTTTAGTGATTCCCAACCTTTTTAGTCTCAAGATCCCCTTACACTCTTACATTACTGAATACCCCAAAGTGCTATTCTTAGAAAATTCTAGAAAACACAAGCACACATTCCATTAGCCATCGAGGCAATGATATCTTCTATAGCCCTCTAGAAAACTCTACTGTACTTACACTCCTGAAATAATGAGAATGAAAAGGCAAATAATGTCTTAGACTTATTATAAAACAATTTTGATCTTACAGACCCTCAAAAGAATCTCCACTCTCCCCACCCCCATTTTGGGGTCCTAGGACCACACTTTGAGAACCGTTCATTTACTGAATGGAGGGAGAATCTTGACTCATCAGCAGTGATTTTGTGATTCTCTTTAGAACCTATTGGTTTCTGTTGCTTCCTGGTATTTTTGAACTTTGCTGGTCACTTGCTCTAGTATTCACCCTTGTGGTTAAAGGAGAATATCCTGCTGATCTGAAGCAAGTGTACACAGGTGGAGAGAACATTCTGTCGTGTCAGATGGAATAGATGATCCCATCTCTGCCTGGGTTACTGCTCTAATCTTTTGTTCGATTGCTTTCCTGTTGCCTCTTACTTGACTCTTTCCCCCGGCTATGAGTCTGTTGCTGAAGGCATGCCCAATCCCTAGACAGTCCTGTGTGCTCTAAATGCACCTTGCCATCAGAAACAGAAGAAAATGGTTACAGCATAACAAACTTGAGGGTAGATTGATAGATTTATTGAGAACCTACTATGTTCCAACTATTTTAAGGCCAAAAAAAAATATGTATACACATACGTGTGTGTGTGTGTGTGTGTGTGTGTGTGTGTGTGTGTGTGTGTTTCTTTTCATCCTCACTGTAATACGGCTAGAAAGTTAAGGAAATGGAAATTTAGTGATACTTTAGTTAATATTGTCTGTCTCCCTTAACCAGGCTGGCACTCTGTGCTCTGTGTTCTAATGCCGCTTCCCTTGGGTAATATCAGGTGTTCATATAACTAACGGTGTCTGATAGATTGTTTATAGTTGTGCTAAACTGGGAGCTCTGTGAGGCCAGAAACTGGGATTATTCTATTGTCTGTTATATCCTTGGTACTTACCACGGTGACTGGCTCCTAGTACGTGCCCAGTAAATCCTTGTTGATATGCCATTCATGGTCACACAGCCAGTATGGCTGGGAGTGTGACCCAGGTCAATCTAATTCCCAAGTCCAGGTTTTTCCTACTATATCTTGTTATTTGTGTAACATTGAACCAGTATATTTTTGGGGTATTTCCCTGCTTGCAGTTTTATTCTTTACTTGTTTGATTTTGATACTTTTCTGACTTTCTAAACTTACAAACATTGGGTTAAGACCACATAGCTATTATGACTCAAGGATGTTATTTTTAAAAAAGAGTATATATTTGAAGAAGAATCTCAAAATTGGAAGGAACTGAAAGGTACAGTCTATTCTACCATCTAATTCTTGTTTTTTTGGTGCATTTTTAAAAAAATAATATTCCTGATTATTAACTACCCCCAGTGACAAGGAATAACTTTCCATAGAAACCTATTCCATCATTTGGCAGCTCTGACTCTTAAGGTGTCAGAATGAGAAAGAATTCGAACACATTCTCATATGATAGCTAGACTCCTTTGAATACTGGTTGCTTCCCTGAATTCATTTCCCTGCCCTTTCTAAAAGGTGGTTCCTGGAACAGATGTCACAGAGCTTTAGAGTCTCTCTAATCAGCATGGTAACTCTGCATTGTCTTTCATGAGCGGCCTAAAGCCAAGGTAGCATTTGCGGCAGCTACTCAGATCCTGCCTTCATCTGCAGGCAGCTGCCGCATTTCTCTGGTGGACCAAGAAGTGCATCAGCTGCTGGATGTCCAGAGATGAGTAAGATATCGTCTCTGTTCTGACTGAGCTGTCTCATAGTTCTGGCTTGTATTGCAATTACTGTTGACTATAACCATCATTCTGTCTACACGTGTGCTCCTAGGAAACCATATCTTTCCATCCCCCACATTTGTACTTGACTTTTTGGTTCAATGCGACTTTCTATCTGGATCTCAGGTAATTTTCCCCTGGTTAGATTTGACTCATCATTATTGCCTGTCAGGAACTTTTGAATTGATTCTGTCAGCTGCTGTGTTCAGTGTCTTTAAGCTTTGTGACATATGACATTTGTTAAGGTTACCTTTTATATATCTTCACCCAAATCATTGATTAAAAAATAATAAAATAAAATAGATGATCTAAACAAGCCTAAGGAGAGAGCCCTGCAGGAAACCATCACAGACTTCTCTCCAGGTTGACATTCATTCACTGATTACCACCCAGATCTCAAATCTTGTCCTTGTACTCAGCTTGGTTTTGTTACTGTTTAGTGCCCAGTTGGCCAGTTCTTCCAGGTGAACGTAAACATCTTTTTTCAAGTTATTCTTCAGAAATTGGATTTTTTTTAGAGTGCTCATATAAGGCACATAAGCCTTAGTGGTTTCTGAGCCCTCTGTGTTTAGGGATCATATAGGTCTACTGCCCCCTGGAGTATTTCGGTTCTTCTGCATCAGCTCTTCTGCCTCATGATTCTGATTTGGCTTCCATGTTGGTCATATTAAAAGTAATCTATTTGTAAGCACAGAGAAAGGAATCTTTTTTAAAAAGTGGTATTCTGGGAGAATATTCGTAAAATAATAATGAAATTTACTTTCAATAATAAACAGTGAGAATGGGAAAGGAAGCTTTGAAAGAGAAGAATAGCAAAGGGGTATTTTGCAATAACAGACATAAACATACCGTAAAGCTAAAACAATGTGGAAATGTGGTCGTGGCTCAGGTATTTGCAGACAAATCAGTGAAATGGAGTGAAAAGCCCAGAATGAAGTGCACATTAAAATTTAGTGTAGATTGATGGCATATCTTTAAATCTGTGGGGAAAAGATAGATTATGATATTGGAGCAGTTGACCAAATATTTGCAGAAAATAAAGTTAGGTCATTGCCCTGTATCATACACTAAAATACATTTTGGATGGATTAAACATTTAAGTATATATGCACATAAAAGTGCACCATAAAATATATCTGATTTTAGCATAGAAATGGCTTTGCTTAGGATACATATAGAGTTCAGAAAGGCAGAGATTTGACCACTTGAACTTATAAAAACCCTTATGTCAAAAAATAAAATAAAAATTTATTTTAAAAAGCACAATGTACAAATTAGAGGGCACTTTTTTTTTTTTAGCACCATATGATAGTGATTGATTTCTCTAATATATGGAGCATTTGTAAGACAGTAATGTGAGCACCCTGATAGAAAAACGGACAAAGAAGAAATAGTAAAATTGAAATTTTTTTTTTTTTTGAGTTGGAGTCTCACTCTGTCACCCAGACTGGAGTGCAGTGGCCACTCCCAGCCACCACAGCCTCAACCTGCTGGGCTCCGGCGATCCTTCCGCCTCAGCCTTCCGAGTAGCTGGAACTACAGGCGCACGCTACCGCGCCCGGCTAATTTTTTGATTTGTTGTAGAGATGAGGTCTCGCTGCCCAGGCGGGTCTCGAACCCGCGGGCTCAGGCAATCCACTCACCTCAGCCTCCCAAAGGCACGGGATTACAGGCTGAGCCACCGAGCCCGGCAAATTGAAAATTTTTAAACTGCCAGAAATGCAAGAAAAAAGTAAGTTTTCTTTTCCATCTTGAAAGGAAGATTTTAAATGCATGATACTGTTTGTGAAGAGGGCAAGGGGAAACAGGCGTTTCATACATTACTGGTACCTTTCTGGCAGAATGTATCAAAATTTCTTAAATCATACATGGTCTTTACTGGGCACTTTCCTTTCTGGGAGTTTATCCTAATACAGTAATTATGGATGCATACATCTAAGTGTCATTTGTTATAGGAGAAAAAATTGGAACCTTTCTGAATGTCTGACGGGGATTGGTTAAATAAATTGCAGTTACATTTACTCAAGAGAATACTGTGTGGCTATTTAACATTTATGATTTAGAACAGGAATTGCAGATAAGCCCAATCTGCCATGCCCACTCTGTGATTGACTGGTAGTCTTTTCTTGGAATACTATGCTGAGAAGTATTCTGAGGCCAGCCATGTCTGGGCTTAGCAAGAAAGAGTTCTATGACCAGTGAGGGATTTTGCCATCGGAGGAGAAAGAGGACTGACAGCAGTTTGTCAGGTACTGGCTTTTCCTGTTGTAGAAGGATATTTAATAAGGGAAATTATCATTAGCCTATATTAATATGTATAAATTATAAATATATATTAACCTACATAAATATTTTTAGCCTATATTAATAACAGCAAAAATTGACTATATTATATAGGCTTACCTTTGGGGGAAAACATCTATGAGTTGAGAAAAACGACTTAAACATATCAAAGTAGTATGGTCATTTCTAGTTAATAGGATTATGGATGATTTACTTACTTTTTTGAGGGCTTGTTTTTCTTTTTCCAGTTTTCTACAAAATATTTTTGTAATCTAAAAAAATATATAAATTTTATTTATTTTAATTTGAAAGATGTAGGGTACAATTCAGGATTAGGTATACAAGTGGTTATCATACAGGTAAAGTTCGGGCCTCCCTTTGATCCTCGCTTCACCTGATTTGAGATCAGGTACCCTTATTGATGTTGTGTGTACCCCCTCCCTGGCAGTATCCCACTACTGTCAATCCCTTTCTTACAGTATTATGGTAAATGTTCAGGATCTGCTTATGAGTAAGAACCTGTGGTAATCAGTTCTTTGTTTCCATTATAGATCACTGAGTATTATAGACTCTAAATCCATCTAAGTTGCTGAGAAATCCATATGTTTGTCTTTTATGACTGTGTAATATTCCATCGTGTATATATGTACCACATGTTTTAAAATATATAAAGAGATCACAGGAGACCGCATGTTTTAAAATATGTAAATTTTATAACTACAAATAATAATGAGGAAAACAATAATATAGGATGTTGTCCAAAATATAGGCATGTTTTAAAGAATTATAGTCTCTAATTTTTCTTCCTTATAAAATTCAGATTTCTGCAGACATAGTATCTGCCCAGTTCCTCAGCATCTGAAAATTGATTTCAGGAGTCCCTACTTTTGATTCTTGTGTGTGTGTGTGTGCCCTCAATTTAATTAAGTAGGCATCTATGGAGAAAGAGACAAAAATATAGTTTCTGTCTTTAAGAAGCTTACATTCAGCCACGCTCGGTAGCTCAGCCTGTAATACCAGCGCTTTTGGGAGGCTGAGGTGAGTGGATTGCCTGAGCCTGGGGGTTCGAGACCCGCCTAGGAAACTTGGTGAGACCTCATCTCTACAATAAATCAAAAAATTAGCTGGGCGTGGTAGTGCACGCCTGTAGTTCCAGCTACTTGGAAGGCTGAGGTGGAAGGATTGCCAGAGCCCAGCAGGTTGAGGCTGCGGTAGCCGGGAGCAGCCACTGCGTTCCTGTCTGAGTGACAGAGTGAGACTCCAACTCAAAAAAAAAAAAGAAGAAGCTTACATTCTGGAAGAGAAGATAGCCATACTATTATGGCAGCAGTAGTAATGAGAACAAGTACTTATGTAGTGCTTTTTATATGCTAGGCAGTGTTCTAAGTGTTTTATGTGTTTTTACTCACTTACTCTTTACAGTAACCCAATGAGAAAGGTAACATTATTGTCCTCATTTATAGATGAAAAAACTGAGGTATAGGGAGGCTAAGTAGGTAGCTCCAAAGTCTGTTTAACCACTCCTTCCTCTCAATCACTCTGTCAGGTATTGTTCAGTTGCTCTACATTTATTTGCTCATTTCCTTCTCAGAACAAACCTTTCTGCCTTGTTCATCCGAGGCTTAATGGTCACTTCTTATATGTCACACACTTGGGAAGGGCATACAGAGTGAATGCAAAGTAGTTCTGTTCTTAGCGCCTGGTCATAGATTTGTTGAAAGGTTCAGGTGTGAAAATGTGAGTGAAGTATCATGCTGGGTGACTTATGGTAGTCATTGTAGGTTCTAGAAACTAGGTCTGCTTTTCCTTGGGACCTGCTTCTTAATCAGCTCCCTGGGTAGTCTGGATTAGGGAGAAGGTATTTTTGGGTAGCAACAGAATCTCACTATTTTCCTTTGGGTTAGGGGAATAATTGGTCCTTGATCTAAGTGGGAAGTAAGAGAAACTCTTTTTGGATTAGTAGGATAGTTATGTTCAAAGCGACAGAGTGAATTGCCACACTAAGGGATGATGGTAACTAATCCATAGGACTGGTGGACAGATCATTTACTACTGCAAAATACTTTGGGAGCCTCTAAAAGTCAGCTTGTGACTGTGAGAGCAAAGGGAATCCTGTAATGAGATCTGAATCCAAGATTGATTTTTGTAATGAGGAAATCGATTTCCCAAGGAAATTGTGTGACAGTATGATGTTTGGATGAGTGTACTTCTTGGTTGGTCTGCTCTAGACACTTTGACAGATTGTCTCTTTGTCTGGATTTTGTTGCTGTTTGCACCTCAGTGCTGATAGTGCTCCTTTCCTTTCAATAATGCTGTCTTGTTTTCCCCTCCTAGGTTCATGGAATCCGAGCTGGACCTAAATGACATCATTCAGGAGATGCACGTGGTAGCTACCATGCCAGATCTGTACCACCTTCTGGTGGAGCTGAATGCTGTGCAGTCGCTTCTCGGGTTGCTTGGACATGATAATACAGATATCCTTTCAGATCTGTGCTCAGTGGGAAGGCTGACATGTTGGGGAAATGCTGTTTACTCTCTCTCCTGCCTGTCTCTGTTGATGTGTACTGTCGTGTCTGGTGTTCTGTTTCCATTCTAATTATCTTTCATCTTGAAACACACAATGCTGTCTACTCATTTGAAAATTTGGTTTTTATCTATTAAGAAATCTTGAGCAAGTCTTAATTGTCCTGTTTGCTTTTATTAGTGCTAGATTCATCATGATATATCTCTTCATACATTAACGGAATTAATTTTTAGGATCTGGATTTGTAGACCACTTAATAGGGACAAGACCAGAAAGATTTGAATTTGTCGATCTACATATCTTTTTGCTAACAGATGGCTTAGTAGAGTTGAGACCACAGGAGGCAGTGAACCGTGGTGGAAAGCACATTGGGATGTCCAGGAGGACAGAGGAGTTTATCTGTTTTGTCCACTGCTATATTCTCAATTCCCGAAAAAGATTGGGTACACAATAAGTGGCATTTAATACTTGTTGGATGAGCATTAGACCTAAACAGACAATCTAGCTTTGATTGCCAGCTTCGTTTATTGTATGAAATGTGGTGTCCCTCCACAGCTCAATGTTCTTATCTGAAAAAGTAGAGTTAATAACTTTTGCCTTTCAGTGTTATTGAGAGGATCAAAGGAGTTGAATGTGTGCTGAGCACAGCTCTTGGCGCATAGTAGGCGCTTAATAAATATTGCTTATAACTGAGTCTGAATCATGACTTCCAAAACCATTTTATACTTTCTCGGCTATCAGATGTGCAATGGCTTTATTGCAAAAGGTTTTTGATGTGCCTGTGGACAGGGTTCGGTTCATTAAACCAAATTCTCTTCCAGTAGTTGTTCTGTTTGAATCCAGATTTCCAAAGGTAAGAGACAAATGTAGTTAGTCTGCTTGAGTGATATTCACGGGGAATCTGCTGCTGCTTCATGTTATTTTCATCTTTCTGGTAATCTCTCTCCTGAGAGCATGTCTGACTAGGTTCTTTCCTGCCTGATAATTCTTATAGAAATAAATCAGTGAATAATTTTAATGCAGGCTTCTTGAAGGGCAATCTTAAGACATTTCTGATACTTCATGTAATGTTAGGTAGTATTAAGAATAGATCTGCCAGTCCCTATATTGATGACTGTTTGCCAGGGTTCTCAGTGGGTTCTGGGTTATATGAGGGCCTTGTCAATCAGCTTGCTTCTGGATGAGCTCAGTATATAGCCTCGTGAATTCATTCAGTAGACGTGCTTTGATGGTGTATTATGTACTTGGCACTCTGCTAGGCCCTTAGGAACTGTAGCTGTACTGGATGCTTAAGCAGCATCAGTCAGTAAGAATATATATTGGGTATTGTCTGGTCTGTTTGGGCTGCTGTAACAAAATGCCATAAATGGAGTGACTGATAAACAACATAAATTTATTTCTCTTGATTCTGGAAACTGAGAAGACCAAGATTAAGGTGCCAACAGTCTTGGTATCTGGAGAGGACCAACTTCCTGGTTCACAGACAGCCATTTTTTTGCTGTTTCCTCACATGGCATAAGGAGTGAGGGAGCTTGCTGGATCTCTTTTATAAGAGCACTAACCCCATTTGTGAGGACTCAAAGGCCCCACCTATAAGATTATCATATTTTGAGGATCAGGTTTCAACATATGAATTAGTGGTGGGATATAGACATTCAGTCTTTAGCAGATATCTGCCATATGACTAGTCCTATTCAAGGTACTTAATGGTCCTCACAGATTTAGTGACTAAGTATTCTAGTTGTGACTTAACATTTCAATTCACCTATTGAATGGTAGATTTCAGAATCTGCTCAGACTGTAGAGATGACAGCCCAGCGCCTTACTTGTTTATTTATTTAGTGATAAGTCTGGTCCAAATGTTGCACAGCTACCGTTTGTGGTTGAGGCTGGCACTCCAGGCCTCTGATTTCCAATCCAGTTTTTCTTCTCATGCACCTTGAGTCCCCTGTGGGATTTGTTACATCACTCACAGAGTTGCACAGTCACCTGTTACCCCGTGTGTTACAGAAATTACCTATTTTGTTTCTGGAAACACCACTGTAATTCTTTTTTTTTTTGGTTCCTGCTAACTCAGAATAATTGTAGCAGCTTTCCAAAGATACTGACGTTTTGCTGATTCACCAGCCTGGCTCCTGCTGGGGGAAGGACTGACACAAGAAGTGCTGCTCGACATCGGCATGCTCGGGGAAGGCAAGGGCACAGATGTTCCACGCTGTTAAGTTCTGGTCTTTAAAAAGGAAGAAACACGTCCCCCTATAATAACTTTGACAGATTGCCATTTCCCTCCTGTTGTCTGAGAGCTAAACTGTTTTTTTTTCCCTCTTGTATGCCATCCTTCACCCAACTGCCCTACTGATATTTCTAAAAATCTGATTTTTAATTATGCCCTACATCAAATTTAAAGTGCATTTGAAATTTTAAAAATTACCTTAATTTTAATTAGAGGCAGCAATTAGGGTAATGTCATCCTCCTCAAGTACAATATTTCTTGAAAGTGATTTCAGGAAAGGGTAGGGCCTCTTGACTTGCAACTAACATATCCCCTATCTGTTGGAACATTGATCTCCCTGCAACACTGCACTCTGCCTCTTGTCTTATCTGTGATCTATAATGGAAATTTTTCTTCAGGAAACGGTTGTTAACGATTTACTGTTGTACAGCTGTAACTGCCCAAAACACCTTACCATGAATAAACAATTTCATGGCAGTCATGACTTAAATTTTTAATCTTTTTTAACTCTTCATTTATCAACCAAGACCATACGTGGCTGGTTATGTTCCCAGCAAGCACAGGTCATCTTTGCTTTGTCCTTCTCTGAGCAAACATAAACTGTGGGGATTTTAATTGGATCAGAGGCTGGTTTGTTGTCACCTTAAGAGGCAGAGGATGTGAGAAAACAGCTTGTGCCTCATCCTTTCAACCGTGAGAAGCTGCTTCAGAGTTTATTCTGGCGCTCTGCATCACTGCCGCTGGTGAGGGCTTGTCAGCGCTTCTGCGCCTCTTCTACCCCCTTGAGAGTCTGGAGCCCAGCCCTTGGTGGGCTGCAGAGTGGAATTCTGGCCTGTGAAGAGCACCTCTGGGCGGGGTAGAATGGGGGAGGGGCACACACCTCACACAGCACTGAAGAGCTGCTCTAAATGCCCTAGGAGGGGGCATACTGCGGGATCCAGCAGCTGCTGCCTTTGCAAAATAATCCTTTTTAAAACAATTTTTCCTTTAAAGTAATTCATTTAAACATGTTTAGAGCCCCTCTTGTGAATGTTGTGGGGATGCTTCTATGGAAAAATGAAACCAAAGGTACCTTTAAAGATAATTTCTTAAGGTAGTGCTGAAACAGTTTTTTGTCACCTGGTTTAAGCCCAGTTTACTCTATTTGCCTAAAGGAACAAGGAGGGATAAAACAAGAGGAAGGTAAAACCTCAGATGGTGGTCAATTGCCCCTTCTGCTACCAAAAAAATAAAGTTACCATGACACCAAATTCATAAGTAACCTGTTTTTATATGTCATTTGAGTGACAAGTCAGTGAATCCTTTCTAAAGTATTTTTGGTAGATCACTGGGCTCCTTCTTTGTATGATAAGTATGTTGGTTACTATTAGGGAAACAAGAAATAATAACTCTAGTTGAGAGCAAAAACACTCAAATTACTGCCCCCATGTCATGCATGGTAAGTGCCCTTGGAGTGTGTTATGCTCAGGAAATGCCATTGGAACTCTGAGAAGGTACGGGTCCTCTCTGGCTTGGGATGCCCAGGGAATTGGGGATTGAAGATGGGTAAGCTTTTGATAAATGTGGAGATTAACTTGCATCTCATGTTTATTTTCGTAAACTCTGCTTTTGCCATGGAAATTGCCATTCCTCATGCTGGATGGAAGCTGATGTGGTCTTGCTGGCAGCTCATGTAGTCACTACAAACCTGTCGAACAGTCAGATCCATGGTTTTATTTAAAAAGAAAAAATCATGACTACTGCTTCCCAGCTAAGTGCCCTATTTTCTAATTTTAAAAAAATTGAGTAATCTAAACTCAGTTTATTCAAAGCCTGCTTTCTCCCCACCTCTCTGTGATTCAGAAAAATGACATCTCATTGTAATGTTAACTTGAGGCATCAGTACAGTGGGCTGCATGCGGATATGGAGGAAGGGAAAATGTGTAAGTTGCAGTGTGTATTCTTGGTGGTCATTAGCACTGTTCTTTTCCAAATTACTGTTTGGTTTTCCTCAGACTGTAGAAAGCCAGAAGATCTTGCAGAGTTGTCCGGTTGGATTTTGTGAAGAAATATTGTGGGAATTTGGAAAATAAGGAGCAGATAGTTTTTTAAGACCAAAAGGGATCAGTTGAACTTGAGCAGTTTGGGTGTGAGTGCTGAAGTGGAACAGACTGATGGAAACATCATATTATCCCAGACGATGTGTATAGTCATCGAAGGTGCTTTGTGACCAGACCTGGTGCTAATGAACAAGAATAGGGCTGGGAAGGGTTTTAGCCCCCTAAGGGACTTTCTTCTAATTGCACTGGGAGGAAGTTGGTTATTGCTCCATTGCTTCCTGCAAGCACTAACAAGACTTGTATAACTTGAACTGTTGTTTTGCTAGGAGTTATTCTCGTCGTATTATTTCCAGAATCAAAGTAACATTTGAAATAATTTACTTCTTTTTCTTATTTGTCATCTGACTTCCTTGATAATATATATTGATAAGCCACTAATTTTTTTGGAGCCCATGAAATATGCTCTGAAGAGGCCTGGTGCAGATGGTCACGCCTGTAATCCCAGCACCTTGGTAGGCCCAGGCAAGAGGAGTACTTGATCCTAGAAGTTAGAGGCCAGCCTAGGCAACATAATGAGACTTCATCTCTACAAAAAATTATCTGGGCATGGTGACGTGCACCTGTATTCCCAGCTACTTGGGAGGCTGAGGTAGAAAGATTGCCTGAGTCCAGTAGTTT